TCCGTTTGGGTCGGCCGCCCGCCCGGCGTCCGCCCTGTTTTAGATTTGGGTCGGCAGTGCGTCCAATGCACCGACCAATTTCATATCCACACGCAATTTTTTAAAAAAGACCCGCGCCATAGACCATGCCATCGGCCATGTCGTCGCCCGAAGCTCCTGCCGGCACCACCACGCTCACCTCGGGCGAGCACTCCCCGGGGAGGCGGGGGGCTTGCGGATAGACATGGAAGTCGGGCATCGGGGTGCAAGCCGACGCGCGGGGCGAGTCGGGAAGCACCATCCGAGGGAACGCAGATGAGCCGGTGCTAGCTGCGGCCACGGCGGCGTTGACAAGGTCGTGCTGGCTAGGGTTTAACCCTAGCATATATAGCGCCTCCCTCGTTGTCGCCACGACGCGGGTGTTGGTGACCTCCTGTTGCACGGCGGCGGCGACGGCGGCCGCCGTGATGGCTTCGTCCCTCGCGTCCGCCGCGTGCCTCCGGTCCTTCCTCTTGGCCGACTCCCTTTCCCGTTGTTCGGGTGTCAGCGTCTTCTTCGGCTTGGGCGCGACAGTGGTCTTGCAGGGGGCGCGAGGCTTGCCTTTGCTGGAGGGGCGGTCGTCATGCCGGACGAGGCGAGGCCGTTGGCGGCGTCGAGATCGATGGCGTCCTCCATGGCGGGGTGTGGGGTGGGAGCGCGCGCGGGCGGTATTGTTTTTGGGGAAAATGGGTGGAAATGGTGATGGCTGCCACCGACCAGCGGGCCCGGAGGAAGGAGAAGGCGAGTGCGCATGTCTCGTGTCCGCGCCGACGCAAATCCGGCTCAAAAAAAGACCGAAAATGATTCGGCAGGCGGACGAAAAGCGGACGCGCGTCCATTTAAATCGGCGTGTTAGAGCAACTCCAATGGGGCGGCACATTTCGTCCGCGGCCGTCCGTTCAGGTCGGAACGCCGGCTTTTCTATCCGCGCCGATCCAAACGGAACGCCCGCAGACGAAATGGGTCTCCCTGTTGAAGTTGCTCTAAATCGGTCGCGCGCTAGAGTTTGCTTCATTGTGGGAATCTCGGTGCTCGGTGGTTAGATTTTAGCTACTGCGGACAGCTTGTACCCGATTTAATCAGAGGATACATACATACTACTCTCTCCGTTCCAAATTACTTGTCGCAGAAATGGATGTATGTAGAACTAAAATACATCTAGATACATCCATACCTGCGACAAGTAATTCGAAACGGAGGGAGTACTATACAAGTGGCAATGCCTGTACAGTGGCACACAACACCCCATCCATGATAAGTGCAAAAGAAGCTGTACCCACCCACCCGCACCAGCATCAACACGCCACGCATCATGCAGGGAGTCATGGAGGCGGTCAGATGGAGTGGCGCATTGACCACCCCTCCTCGATCGCAATGTGCCCAGCACCGGCACCGGCACCACACATCACCCACAGCGCTTGAGTGTGTGTGTGAGAGACCTTTCACAAAAAAAAGAGTGTGTGCGTGAGAGATTCCGCATTAATAAAAAGCGCGCGCTCCTGATGGATGTATAGGTAATCGATGGCTACGACGCTGCCAAGCTCCACTACCGGGGGGGCGCGGAAAAGGCGAAAGGCGTGTGAAGAAAGGCATGCGGTGCGTGGCATTTTGACCCCGGCCGGCCGAGCACGAGGTGACGGAAAGACGGAGAGAAAGACCCGTGATGGATGGATGGATGGATGGATGGACGGGAGGCCGGCCGGCCGACGTGATGTGACGCTGCTTTTGGACCAAAATCGTGCCACCACTCCAGCTCCTACCTACGCGCACGCACCGCACTCGACTCTGGCTCGCTCCCCCCTGGCCCGAAATTCGGCCGCGCGCTCGCGCGTCGCCCTCGCTCCCTGGGCTGGGTAGTGCCTCCGACAGTGCACTCCGCGGTCAAATCTTTAACTCTGCATATATGCAAACTTGCAAGGTTCGAGATGAGGAAAAATGACACAGCTTCTCTAGCACTGATAATCTTACTAGAAAAAGGAGAAGTTTTGTTTATGCGGTGGACAACCAGACCGCGCGCCGGGAGCCGGCCGCCGGTCGGTCTGGCCTCGGCGTGCATGCATGCATGCACATGGACAAACACATGGTGGCCTCAATTCTCTAATCTTTTCCTCTGTCATCTGAACGCATTAACACCGGATTTTGGTCACCGTCTGCGCCGCGCGCCCGGAGCGCGACACCTAACCGCTTCACTAACTCCAGACAGCCTTCTCTCAATCTCTCTCTCTCTCTCTTCGGCTCTTCCTCTTCGTACCTGAACCTTGTCCTTTGTGCGCGGTTTTCCTAAACAAAACAAAGGCACGGCACGGCCGCCTGCCCCTTTTTTCTCCGAAGTTCGGCCGCGCAGGCGGCGGGGAAAACGCGCTCCCCGCATGCTCCGGAACACATACGTGCCGGGAGGAGGGCCCGTCGGCGGCCGGGTTCCTGCCCCCTGGCTGGCAGCGATGGATGCCCCGAGCCACGCACGCTGCGGGTGCACTACCGTCCGTGTCATCGATGCAATGCATCTCCCTCGGCGTTTGTTTGGCGTGCCTCGAACCATGTGGCGTGCTTCGGCCCTGTGTGTTATTCGCTGGCTGGTTCACGGGGAGCAACTCCACTCGACGAACGTCAAAGGTGCACATCCAAGTCTAGCGACACTGCGAATCAACATGTGATTGAGTTGATTAGATGGATAGTGGTATCCCTGATCCATCAGGGTTTAAATCCTGGTACTCATATTATTTTTGAATTTATTTCAGGATTTCCGGCGATGCGCTTTCAGTGAGAGGAGACGTTCCCGTCGACAACGAGGCGCCTACGGTGGCTTCGTAAATCTCAAGATGATATGCCGGTTCAGTCTCTCAGAGATGCTCATAGGGGTAGGGTGTGCGTGTGTGCGTTCATAAGGATAAGTGTATGCGCGTGTATATGAGCGCTTGTGTCTGTACTGATGCTTAAAAAAAAAGTCTCACGACACTATAGATGGAAATATTGGCCGTGGGTAATTTATTTGAATTTTTTGGTGGTCAAGTACCAAAAAAAATTCAACTCATGTGTTGCCATTTTCATTGTCAAAACCCATATATACACGACCGGTGATGCTGCGAGCAATGTGGCAGACGGCCAACGGTGCTGCGACGCACCGTCATTGCTTCGAGGCGGGTAAGCCGTCTTGCGAGAGGCACTGATGTGCTACTCCCTTCGCCTCCCTTTTTACTCCGTATGTAAGATTTGTCTGAAGTTAAAATTCGTCAACTTTGACCAAAATTATATGACAAGATATTAACATCTACAATATTGAAGTTATACAATACCAAAATTAAATTCATGACGCATCTAATGAAATTGGTTTTGTATTGTGAATATTAATATTCTTTTTTATAAAGTTGATCAAACTTTACAAAGTTTGACTTCAGATAAATTTTATATGCAAAGTAAAAAGGACCCAAGGGAGTACAGGTCATGCTGCATGGGGGGAGGGGGCACCCGCTACTCACTCTTTTTCTGAGAAACTTCTGTTATTTGTAGTTATTGTCTGTCCATTTTGGCCCTACACTATACATTACTTCTCCATTCTATAACGTAGTGCGTCTAGATTTTCTTTCAAAGTCAACCATTATAAACTTTGACCAAGTTTACAGAAAAAAAACATTTACATATAGAATGACAAACATATATCATTAGATTCATCATAAGATATAGTTTTATATTTTATTTTTAATTTTGTATATGTAAATAATTTTCTATACACACTACATTATGAAACAGAGGGAGTGTGGATGGCCCAATGTCATCTCAGGTACGGCGGCTGGCATTTGCCCAGGTAGGGTAGTCAGCTTTTAGACCGCGCTCTGCGCAAAAGAATAGGCATCCACACTCGTTTATGTAAAGTTCGCCATGGGTATTTCTCGCCTACTGCCAGACCTATCGCCGCTCGTATGTGACGCTGGTGCGCCCTCGCCTTAGTGGCCCAACCCATCTCTAAGCGGTTTTGAGAAGATTCTATAGACCGGTTTGGACATTTTTTATAACCTTCATGCGTTTTTAATTATGTTTTATGTGTTTCTTCTCTCGGTTTTCTTTCTTATTTTTCCTTTATTCAAATACATGTCGTACATTTTGTATACACATGTAATATTTTTTAGACACGTTGAATATTTCTTAAATATGCTAGGAACGGTTTTTTAAATACTTTGTTGAATTTTTTTTCAAATAAATGTGAAACAAATTTTAATACTCACAAAACATTATTCTTGATATGAGTTCACATTATTTCGAATGATATGTAACATTTTTTTTGCAAATCACACAAACATTATTCTTGCAAATCATGCAAATAATTTTACATTGTATAAGCATTTTAAAAAATGTGTCATTTTTTAAATGCGCAAGAACTTTATGATGGTATGAATATATTTTTAAAATTACACAATTTATTTTACATTGTGTTTTTTTAATCTCACTAATATTTTTTGAAACACGTGAACATTTTAAAAGTCACAAACATTGTTTTGAATGCTACCAAATTTTTTTAAAAGTTTCTTTATTATAATTTTTACACTGCATGAACATTGTTTAAATGCGTGAAGGATGCTTTCAAAATTTATGAAAGTAATTTTTAAATATTTATGTTGAAATTTGTTCTCAATACAAACCAAAAGTTAAAAAGGAAAGAGATAAACGAACGAACGAAGGAGGGAACTAACGTTCGTATCATCTAACGGGCGAGCCCACAACAGCGTCTCTAGGGTTGGCTGCTATCGACTGTGGTCAAATGGGGCCCATATGAACCCCTAAAAAAAATTTGGGGCCCATATTATCGTCTGAAATGGCTCAAGGGCCACTCTCTCGGCAGCCAAGAAGATCTCCAGCCGTTTCTGAAAAAAAGGGGAAAAAATCTCGAGCCAAACTGCCGGGGCGGAATGGCGGGGAGCTCTCGAGCTTCAGAACTCTGAAAGCGCCGCCAGTCCCCGCCGCCGACGCCGCCGCCGCCTCCGAGAAAAATGGCGGCCCTCTACGTCCCGCTCCGCGTCATCGCCTCCCGCCCGCGCGCCCCCACCCTGCGAGTCCTCCTGCCGCTCCACGCCCACCTTCTCACCTCCGGCCGCCTCGCCTCCGCCCCCGCCATCCTCACCACCCTCGTCTCCCTCTACGCGCGCGTCCCGGCCCTCCACCCCGTCGTCCACCACCTCCTCCCGCCGGCCTCCCCGCTCCCCTGCTTCAACGCCGCGCTCTCCCTGCCCTACCCGCTCGCGCTCCGCGTCTTCGGCCGCCTCCGCGCCGCCCACTTCCCCGACTCCTTCTCCTTCCCGCCGCTCGCCTCCTCCGCCCCGTCCCCGCCCCACCTCCTCGCGATCCACGCCCTCTCGCTCCGCTGCGACGTCGCCCACGACCTCTTCTGCGCCAGCGCCCTGCTCCGCGGCTACCTCAGGTTCGGCCTCGCCGACCACGCACACCGCCTGTTCGACGAATTGCCCCTCCGGGACGTCGTGGTCTGGAACGCCATGGTCAACGGGTTCGCCAAGCTCGGCTGCTTCGACCGCGCCATGGAGTGCTTCCTGCGGATGAGGCAGGATGGCACGGTGGAGGTCAGCGCTTTCACCGTCACCGGAATCCTGTCGGTCTGCACTGCGGCCGCGGATTTCCAGTGCGGGGCTGCCGTTCACGGGATGGTGGTGAAGTCGGGACTCGACCACAATGTTTCCGTGTGTAACGCCTTGGTGGATCTTTATGGGAAGTCCCATGATGTGGCCAGTGCGGCGATGGTGTTTGAGGGGATGGCAGAGCAGGACAGGGACTTGTTCAGCTGGAACTCGATGCTGTCCGCATTGCACTACTCGGCTGACCATATGGGGACAATGAGGCTCTTTCGTAGGATGAGGCATGCTGCAGTATGGCCGGATGCAGTGACCGTTGCGGCTGTTCTCCCTGCATGTGCGCAGACTGCTGCACTGAAGGTTGGGAGGACGGTGCATGGGTACATTATCATGATCGGACTGGCTCGCGATGGTGCAATGGACGTGCGTGCTTGTAATGCGCTGGTAGACATGTATGCCAAGAGCGGGGCACTGGATGAGGCATGCCGTGTATTTTATTGGATGCGCCAACAGGACGTGGCATCATGGAATATTATGATCAACGGGTATGCATCCCATGGGCGTGGGCAGGAGGCACTGGGGTTGTTCCGCCAGATGACAGAGGTGAAAGGTCTGGTGCCAGACGAGGTAACTCTGCTGGCAGCAATGTCGGCGTGCAGCCACTCTGGGTTTGTCGAAGAAGGGAGAAGTTTACTTAAGAGAATGAAAGAGGAGTTCGGTTTGGAGCCGCTGATGGAGCACTTCGCATGTGTGACTGACATGCTTGGGCGAGCAGGGAGGCTGGATGAGGCGAGAAAGGTAGTAGAGGAGGCAGGAGATGTAGGAGCTGGTGCATGGAGGACATACCTTGCAGCATGCCGGATGCATGGTGATAAAGAAAGGGCCCAAGAGGCAGCTAGGATGCTGATGACGACGAAGGAGCCTGGGAGTGGTGGATGGGTGCTGCTAGCGAACACATATGGCTGGGATGGAAACTTTGAGGGCCTGGAGGAGGTAAGGGGGGAGATGAGACGGCAGGGAGTGCAGAAGCCTGCACCGGGCTGCAGCTGGGTTGAGGTGGGTGGAGGAAACGGCGAGAGCGGAACAGTTGGGCACGCTTTTGTTAGTGGCGATAAGGAACACCCCTAGGCTGACATGATTTATGAAATGCTGCATTCATTGATAAGTTGGATGAGGGATTGCAGTGATTTGAGTATCACGACCCCATTATATAATTGAATGCTCATATCTGTTCTTATTTTGTTACAAGCTAGCACTGGCGTACTATTGCGCAGATATTAATTAGAATGGTGCATCATTGGATACAGATAGGCTTGCACCATTAAGAGCACCACCGAAACTTGGACCTGGTAAGAGGGTTTCGCCAAATATCATAGTTCCAGCAGTCAGTGCTCCAGCTCCAAGCCCCATTCCAAAGTTTGGTGCACTATTCTGAGCTGCAGATTTTCTTGGTGGCACATTTATGTAGTTCTGTGGCACTCTCTCCCTACCGGGATGCTGTGGTGGGAAGAAGCCGAGGTTTGAAGTTGGTGGTGGTGGCAGGGTTGATGGAAACATTGGGGGTTGGTAGCTGTAGCTACTTCCTAATGGTGATGGATCTGGGCGAGTTCCAGGGATCACCGGCCTGGAATTACTACGGTGATCAGCATCTTCTCTGTCGCCCCTATAATGGTTGTAGGGTGGCGGTGGATAATTATAAACTGGTCCGTCTTCTATAGCCAATGTGATGCCGACCTGATCGGAGTTCTTCAATCCTTCAGGTAATCCTGCAAATCAACAGAAGATGATATAGGTTAAAGTAATTATGATATTGTAGTTTTGAAGCTCATCTTAATTCATGTGATTTATATTTAAACATACCCTTTACCCTTTTGATGGTAAGAATCAGACAGTAGATCTTATGACTATATCATGGCAGCATACTCTACCAAGCATGCTGACTTTCACTTGTTCTTCTGCTAACTCCGTTATGTTTTGAAGAACAAGTAAATGCTGCCCATTCTCTGTACATTCTAAAGCCTACCAATGGATCAAGCATGTTATGCTTTTTCATCCAAAAAATGTGTTGGCCATTTCCTTACAAATTGTGGATAGATTTGCCGATAAAGATACAACATATACTTTTCTTGTTGCTATGAAGCTATGATGTTAGGTCACGTACTGAACTTTTTTGCAACATATTTGTTATTAACCAGAAAAACGCTGATTTTTTTCGACGAACAAAACAATACCAATTTCCATGCATTATTGTTATTTTAGTTCTGACTGCCATTCTAGTGTGCTGTGCGGAGGATTTGGAAAATGTATGTGTTGACTACGCTCCTACCATGAAAGTGTTTTGATCAGCATCTCAGATGGCACAAATCAGACAGATTCTTTCAGTGTAAACCAGAAATTTCTGTTTACCTGAAAACCGACCATGATCATCTTCTTGCTTGCAGATCCGGATGGATATATCCACAAATCCATGAGCTTTGTCTGACTTCTTCCTCCTAAGCTGGAAGCTGCCAGTCTCCTCAATGACTTCTGAATGCTCCTCACTTTGGGCGAATTTCTCAAGATACTCCTTCAACTGCACAACTGCAGCTCCCTGGAGATGCTCCCTTAGGAAGATGGGCTCTCTCCTGTAGACCTCAACTGTCAGTTCCATCTGCTGCTGGGCCAGACCATGCTCATCCACCGAGACCGAGAACTTGGTGCCCCAGCTTGCATTTGAGTTTCCCGACGCGTCAATCTTGGTGCAGTACTTGCTGTTGGGATCAACCCATCCGACTGAGAACCACTGTGGCTTCAGCAGCGACGATCTGCGTCCTAGACCGCGCGCGGAGATTATGCAGAACTCGACTGATAGCTTTTTCATTTGTATGAGGGCGGGTGAGGGCGTTGCAGGATGTGATGCAGACCAGGGGATACGATGCGGAGATTTATCATCATCCCATAGGCACCCTTTACCTTGCTGCAAAGTTATTCAAGACGATAATAAGGATTTGTTTCGTGTCTACTTTGTTGCTTCCCTGTGGTAGTGGAATCGATTCTAAAGTTGTGGCACTAGGAGAGGGAGAAGCATAGATGGTGCTAGCCGAAGCATTTTTATTACGAGTATTTTATTTTGTTCTCTTTTCTATCTTTCTTTGGCTCTTCTATAATAGTACTAACAATAAGTTGAATAAGGGGCAGCAAGTGAAAGACCCGTGTGGCCGTGTCCTCTGCTGTGAGGAATAATGAAGGAACCACCATGATAAAGACCGAACCCCGTTGGTGAGATCCGGTCTGTTGTTGCGGCCCGATCTTTCACGACACTCCACCTTCAGTAGCAGTAACCTCTCGCCCGCACACGCGATGTACACGAAGTAGAGGGTTTGAACCTTGCGGCTCAGCACGAGAGAAACAATCTGTACGACGGCACCTCACGCGCAAAACAGTTTCCTTGCAGAAATCGCAACAAAGAGGTTTTCTAAAGTTACCTCAAAAACTTGATACGAGTTTCTACCCTCGAAAATACATCTCTATTTCATATAAAAATAACCTCCCCCTATTACATCGTTCTGGCTTGGCCTTATATAATAGCTGCAAAAGCTAACTAGCTTGGGAAACAAGCATCGCATCCTACCATCCATCTCACGTACAAGATAGATAGATAAAAAAAGGTACCTTCTAAAACTAGGACTCCAAAATTATCTATTAGATTACTTGTCTTATAGTTTGACAAGTTAATCTCTATATTAACATGGACTGTTTGTTGGTCCGTTTGTGGTGGACCCCATCCCAAGGCACACAAGGATAGAGTTCTCCACAACACAAGCCTCCTGCAAATTCTTTTTATCTCTTCAGGTGGGCGTGGCATGTCAAAGTAGTAACCTGCAGCGACATCTCCTTTAATTCCAACTGAATAAAATTCCTATACTTGCAACCTTGTACAAGCAGCCAGCAAATCCTCCATATTAACCATGCATGCTTCGTTTCTTCTATCTCCAAAAAACTGGAATCTTTACATGCATTAGTAGCATGCAAACCACGCTCTCCAAAATATACGTACGTGCATGCACTTTCTTCTGGAACTACGTAGAATTTCTTATCCTCTTTCATCCGTTCTGGCTTGACCCGTGTAGCATGCTTCATAGGAATAACAAGTAATTTTTGTTCATTATCGTAGCTTGGCCTTGGGCGCTCTGGTGTATGCGTAGCATATGTTTGGACAACACCGACTTCAAGCGAAACAACAACGACCTCAGTATTTATATTACACGGGGTCATATCACACCATCTGCAGTTTCACCTCGTCTCCAAATTACTGGGCTTCCACAGCTGACGTGTCTGTTAGGCACGGTAGTAGCAGTTTCGGGGGACACCAGTTTCTTAGGCCAACTCCACCGCGCGTAGGCCAACTTCACCACGCGACCCTATCCTGTCCGCCCCCGTCCGTTTGGGATAAAAGGGACAAAAACGAGACGGCGCAGCGCGCGGGCGCAAACGGACTTTTGTCCGCTTTCGATCCATCACCGGCCCAAGTTTGCGCCGGTTTTGGGGTGAAACAGACAGCGCGCGGACGGGCGGGACGCGCGCACTTGTCCCCCCTGACCCGCCTGTTGGTGGGAGAAACCAAACCCACCCACGCCCATTTGGCCCATTTCCCCCTAACCCTCCCACGTTCCTCCCGCCGCCCCCTCTCTCCCCCGTCCATGGCCGACGCCTCGCCGAGTTCAGGCGGCCTGGCCGTCGACCCGCCCGCAAAGGTGAAGAAGAAGGCGCCAAGGAAGCCGCGGTCGGAGTGCACGCCGGAGGAGATCGCCAAGTTGGACGCGGAATCGGCGAAGAGGAGGGAACGGAGAGCGGTCGTCAAGGTCAATGCCGCCGCGGCCAAGTTCGCCGCCCAGCGCGATGAGCTGGACGCCGCGCGGCGCAAGGCCGCGGCCGACGAGAAGGAGGACCTCGTCAACAAAGCGCACGCCATCTTCATGCTTGGCATGGGCCGTCCGGCCGGGTTCCCTGGAGCGGTCGTCGGCCCGGCGAGCACAGGCTCGTCGGTCGCCCGGCCTACGCACTGCCAGTCGCTGACCTCGCGCACCGCGCCATGTCGCCCGGCTTTCCTCCGCCAAGGCACGACAGCCATACCCGTTTCTCGGGGTCGCCGGACGTGGGCTTGTTCGCGCCGTCGACACCGCGCCCCGCGGCCGTCATCGACCTCAACGTCG